AAAAAGGAGAGAGAGAGAGAGAGAGAGAGAGAGAGGGAGGGAGGAGGGGGGAGGCAGAATACTCATAAACATAAAATAAAAATAAATAGTCCTTTTTTAAAAAATTAAGTTTAGGACTAGTGAGATGGCTTGACAGGTAAAGGTGATTGCCACAAAGCCTGACAACCTGAATTTGATCCTTGAGACCCACATAGAAGGATAGAGTTTACTCTTACATGTTGTCCACTGATCTCCACAAGATCACTTTGACATTCCCCCTATCACCAATCAATAAATATAATTTAATATTTTAAAAAAGAATATTGTTTAGATGTCTACTCCTCTTTTGGCACTGGTCTTCAGTCTCTCTCTTTCTCTTTGAGATGGAATCTTAATATGTAGTACTGGCTATCCTGGAACTCACTGTGTAGACTGGTTGGCCTCAAATTCATAGTGATCTGGTTGCCTTATCTCCTGAGTGCTCAGGTCAAAGGTGTGTGCCACCACCCATCCCTCCTCACTGTTAGAAGAGTCAGCAAATGTATGTCAGATGTGATAAATCTAACAATGTCATCATATCATTCATTGCCTGGAGGTTTCTTCTATTTATGCCACAATCCAAACACTTTTTCTTTTTTTATAACTACTGAAGTATGTGTGTTGGTGAGCTTATATGCTTTATGTGTCCATCTTTACCACCACATTGCAAAATGAATTCTTAGGTATTTGAAACTAAGGAAATGACAATTTTTTCAAGACAGGATTTCTCTGTGTAGTCCTAGCTGCCCTGGAACTCTTTGTGTAGATCACGCTGGCCTCTATTTCACAGAGATACACCTTCTACCTGCCTCTGCCTCTAGAGTGCTGAGATTAAAGGCATGTGCCACCACTGCCTGGAAAAATAACTGACTTTTATTGAAAAGCATCTAGTAATATTCTAGAATAAATTAGGATTTTTATAATTAAGCCAAATACCCAGACATCCTAGCACTTGGGAGGCTGTGCCCATAGAGGCCAGAAGAAGGGATCAGATCCCCCAGGGCTGGAATTACACATGGTTGTGAGCCACTTGGAATCAAACCTGGGACCTCTGGAAGAACAGCCCAGCCAGTGTGCTCTTAATCATTGAGGCCATGGCTCTAACCCTACGGTTAAATATGTTCTCTCCCCCCCCCATGTTTTTTTTTATTTGAATTAGAAACAAGATTGTTTTACATATCAATCCCAGTTCCTTCTCCCTTCCCTCCTCCCCTACCACCCCACTCCCAACTAAAACCCTACCTGTCACATATCCTTTCTGCTCCCCAGGGAGGGTGAGGCCTTCCATAGGGGGGGTCATCAGAGTCTATCCTATCCTTTGGGATAGG